TCGCGATGTCGAATGGGAATCACCTGGACCATTGCTGTACCGCTCTCAGACACTACTGTCCCACCAGAACTAAGTTTTAGAACGATGTTAGTAAGGGACTTCTCTGCTAAGGACGGGTTTTCTCCCACCATGGTGAATCAATATCTCAGTCAACCGACCCCTTATTCCTAGGCCATATTTGAGTCCTTGCTTTTTCACTGAAGACCTAGTCTAGTGTTACCTTCACTCACTTTGCTTTCTTGCTCCATGTTCTTTGTTTTGATTTCCCACATCTGTTCCGACAGTCATTCCCGTTCTCGTCTGCTTTTGCACACGAAATGGACATCACGAAATAACCTGAGCTCAAGTGGTCCTGTTATGATGTACCTTGTTCCTTATTTCGTACGGTCGTAGTTTCGTTGATCGACTTAAATAGAATCGGATGGAGGGTTACAGCGTGCATCAGTAAACCATTGACTGGGTGCCCTCTTCTGTATACATTGTGTGCTTTGTTCATTTAGAATACATAACGAGAGCCCTGCGTCACGATTTGGTAATTCAGTTTTCTCAGTCACAACTCCTTCTATAGGCCCGTCTGTACTGACAGGCAGGTATGTGTTACGAATAGAGTATCGGTTCTGATTGAGCGCGAGAACAAGAATGAATAGCGTAGAATGAATAGCGCTTTACTTGTCTAAGAATAGACGTACATAAGCTGAAAATGAAGGCAAAAGCGTGGTTAATACAACACGATAATGTGAGCACAAAGAATATTCATGACATTCACCCTGGCCGTTGGATTGTGTGTAGAGGGATAAATTGGGTACAGGTATTGGATGAATGATTGTAAAAATCTAATGAGTAATAGTGAGTGTGGTTAGGCTTCTCGATTTCTTAAAACGTAGGGCCGTGTACGCTGCTGGAGCCTGGCTAAATCAGAGATGCTAGGGTCATATGTATCTGGAGATGCAGGTGCATTGCCGGGGCACGGGGGTGTGACTGAAGTACGATCAATATCATCTCCAATGTTATTGAGCGGAGGCGTGTGCAAGTCAGATAGAGGGGGTGCATGAACACCATTGTCTTCATTGGGTGAGGTACGCGTGGGATCGTTGACATGTGTGTGATCACCACAAAGAGCGAGATGGCGGACGGATACAGTGCTTTCTTTCCCGTCGGGAAAACGAACACGGGCGTAATGTGGATTGCTATTTATTAATTGGACTTCCTCAACGACGGGCTCATACTTTGAGGCACGGTCAAATCTCCTCAGTAAAACAGGTCCTGGAACAGTGAGCCAAGTCGGTATAGATAAACCACAGGATGACCGGCGTTCAAACCGGAATATCCGTTCATGTGGAGTAACATTCGTGGAGACGCAGAGAAGGGACCGTATAGAGTGGAGGGCATCCGGTAGAGCCGACTCCCAGTGACAGATTTGGAGGCCTTTCGTCTTGAGTCTAAGCTGGATTGCGTTCCAGAGTGTTCCGTTGAGGCGTTCGACTTGCCCGTTCCCCTGGGGATTATAAGAAGTTGTTCGGCTGGTGCAAACTCCCCTGTCATGTAGGAATGTGGACAGTTCGTCAGATATGAATGACGAGCCACGATCCGAATGTACATATGCAGGCATGCCAAACAAAGAGAATAACTCACACAGACATTTAATAACTGTAGACGCACATGTATCTACGCAGGGAAAGGCAAACGGAAAACGAGAAAACTCGTCAACGATGGTAAGGAGATACCGGTTTCGAGTAACAGAAGGTAGAGGTCCTTTAAAATCGATGCTAATTCGTTCAAATGGTTGGGTCGCTTTGATGAGCGTAGCGGGGGGTGGTTTGTAAAACTGCGGTTTGATGGCGGCGCAAACCGTACACTTTGTGGTGATGTCCTTGACATCTTGGAGAGAGAACGGCAGGTTTTTGGAAAGAACAAAGTGGTGCATTCGAGTGATTCCAGGATGGCACAAGGAATCGTGAATTTCTTTTAATTTATCATTGCCGATCACATTGGCGCATAGGTTACGCGATAAGGTGTCAGCAACCAGATTGTCTTTTCCAGGTCTGTAGCTCACATCGTAGCTAAAAGCGGAAAGTTCCATTTTCCATCGCTGAATTTTATCATTTTTTATCTTACTTTTTTGCGAGGAACCATACATAAAGGAAACTGACCGCTGGTCAGTGATAAGCTTGAAGTGCTTCCCGAAGAGATAATGCTTCCATTTACGGATAGATTCAACGATGGCGTATGCCTCCTTCTCAATAGCAGAGTGATTCTTTTCGCTCGGTGTCAGTGTTCTAGAAAAGAAGGCCACCGGTTGGCCGTTCTGAGTCAGAGATGCAGCAATGGCTATGTCTGAGGCGTCAGTCTCGACAACCAATGGTGCGTTGTAGTCGACTGTCACAACCATGGCGTTCTCTAACTCCTTCTTTAAATTTTTGAAAGACTGTTGCACACGCTCCGGTAAGGGGAAAGTCTTATTTCTGACAAGCACACTGATTTTGTCAGAGAAGCATGGTATCCATTGCGAATAATAAGCAAACATACCAACAACACGTTGTTGGGATTTAGCGTCATGTGGATGAGGGAGTTCACGAATAGGTTTCATTCGTTCAGGATCTGGTTTGATAATTCCTTTAGAGACTTCGTAGCCCAGAAGGCGTATTTGTTTGGCTGCTATGATGCTTTTCTTACAGTTAAGGGTAATTCCATATTTTCTTATTACTTCAAAGAAAGATTTGAGGTTCTGGTCATGCTCACTTTGGGTAGTCCCACAAATAGTGACGTTGTCGATGTAAGCGTAGGTGCTACTTAGGTTCTCAGACTTGATTATTTGGTCAATAGTACGTTGAAAACATGCTACTCCGTTGGTTACACCGAAAGGAATACGACGGAACTGAAACAGCTCTCCGCATGCTTCAAAAGCCGTATACGGTTTATCTTGCTCACTGATTGGAACTTGATGGTAAGCACTCAATAGGTCTAAGGTGCTAAAGACAGTATGACGGGAAATTTCTTCGATCATTTTATCCAGTCGCGGTAACGGATACGCGTCTAGGTATGTGAACCGATTAATGGTTTGACTGTAGTCCACTACCATGCGTCTTTTGTGGTTTGAATTTTTCGTGACCAGTACTTGAGCCCTCCATGGAGAACTCGAAGGTTCGATTATACCTTCATCCAATAGTCGATTAACTTCACAGCGGATAAATTGTTCATCGTCCGGATTATAACGTCGCGATTTTGTAGCAACAGGCTTGCAGTCGGGTGAGAGGTTAGCAAAAAGAGGAGGTGACTCGACCGCAGCAGCAGGTAGACCGCAGAGGGTGAATGGACCTCGGTCCCCACCGAATGTGATTTCAACTTTGTTATGTAGACCAAGGAAGTCATGGCCTAGCAGCAGGTCAGCACATAGATTGGGTAATACCAATAGTTTGATCTTTTTGTAAACGGTGCCCCTGTAATCGATGGATGCGTAGCAGTAGCCTCTAGTTGAACACGTCAGAGAGGTAGATGCCATGGTAATCACAGAATTGTTAGCATATACCTTCCAGCCATGTTTACCAACCACCAAAGGAGATATGTAACTGCTCGAACTTCCTGTGTCTATGAGGGCCTGAAGCGATATCCCGTTCACCTTTATGCTGGTCACCGTGCGAGACAAGCAGTTCGGGGCCGCAGCAGTCAACAGGGAAGATAAGGCCGAATCCGTTGTGCAATTTGAGTGACACTTTACAGATTTGGATCGACAAACACGCTGAAAATGGCCTGTTTTGCCACATGATTTACAAACTGCTTCTCTTGCGGGGCACTTTGACCGTGGATGTCTGGAACGACCACAAAAGTAACATATCTGAGAACTGATTGACGAGAGATAGGGTGTAGAATCAGGGGAGTTTGAGTGTGAAGGGATAACTGTAGATGTCTGTAAAGGTGCTGCAGCCGCAGAAAATGATATCGCCTGGTTATGTGAGTATGACTGAGCTTGTTTGTGGGCCAATTCTAATGACCTGGCCAATTCATGAGCTTCATCGAGAGTGAGTTCGTTTTGAGCTAGAAGTCGTTCTCTGATGGTAGTAGACTGAAGTCCGTTGATTAGAGCATCGCGTACACTTTCGTTTTGATGGTCAATGGCGGACACCGCCTTGAAATCACAATTTTTGGCCAAGGATTTAAGCCTCTGAACAAACTGATCAACATCTTGACTGGTGTCTTGTTTGCAAGTTTGTAGAAGATGGCGAGCATAAATTATATTCTTTGGACGAACGTACAACTTTTCAAGTGCACTGATAGCTGATTCGTAATCTGGACAGTCAGCGATATAAACGTATACAGGTGCATCCACAAAATGGATCAGAGTTTCGAGTTTATTTAGATTGGGCGATTCGACAGTGCCCAGAAACGTTTGGAAGGTTCGGAACCAATGATTCCAACGCGTTGTTGCGTCTGGAGAATTAGGATCTGCGTCGAAACACTTGGGTCGCAGCAACGGTTCCATTGTATTCTTAGACAAGTAAATTGTTACGAATAGAGTTTCGGTTCTGATTGAGCGCGAGAACAAGAATGAATAGCGTAGAATGAATAGCGCTTTACTTGTCTAAGAATAGACGTACATAAGCTGAAAATGAAGGCAAAAGCGTGGTTAATACAACACGATAATGTGAGCACAAAGAATATTCATGACAGTATGTTTGATAAATACTTTGAAATGATATCTACTCAACGAATTTATCAAGTCTCTTCGCTTATTGGCTTTAACAACATTTTGAAGCCGAATATGGTGCACTTATGGGTTATGGGTCCATCGGGCACCAAGATTGGTTCCTTCGTATACTGTAACCGATCATTCCAACCTTGTTTATCTTAAGTACTATAGGCTGAATAGTTGCATCGCGGAATGTGATTTAGAAACACACTGCATGGTGCCAAATGTCGTCGAAGTTCATACGACCTTGGAAAGCTGTTAAATTCAACGGATTACCTATCTGTGCGGAACTCGCAGGTGGACATCATAATCATTGTCAGCTGTAATAACCGCATACTTGTCGTACAGTGATTGTAGCTGCCACACTTTCATTCACCGATAATTCGGAAAGGTGGGGTAGGTAGCTGCGTATCAGTGGCGGGAGCTGATAAATTAGTGCATAAATACAGCACTGTAGATGTACTGCTGAGTGGGGGAATTGGGAAGGGAGCATTGAATTGAAGGCAATAGGTTGGATGCACGAGCGCCATTGAGGGCGCAACTGTGTCATGCCTGACAATGTCTCTAACCATTGATATGGCGGTACCGGGAGTACGATACCTATAACTGAACCTGTAGACAGTAGGCGTTCAGCACACAACACTATGACCCGAGCCTTGGTCAACTATTTATGTGTAAACAGGTTACATCCAATAATGTTCTACCTATTCCCCCTTGTCGCCGCTTACGACTTGAACAAATGTGTGGCCTATATGTCTTTAACCTTTTCGGTTGCGCGCGCAACTATACCTGTTTTATTAGTCGTGCTGCTCTCGCGTTAGACAGTATCAAAAGCAGCTCGGATGCTTGGTTTTTAGCTTGTGTTGTGCATCTTGTGCATTCCATGGTCATTACTTAAAAATGGGCACCTTAGTCCAGATTTGGGCGTCAACGACCCAGGCCACAGATCCTTGGGGCTGGCAACGTCATTCATATCAGCATCGCTTTTGTAACATTAAACTCTAATCAAATGGACTGCTCTTTTCTGACCACGCTCCCCCGTTGTTTGCTCTTTCCGATTGTGTCTTCTTACTAGGCTCTTGCTTATCATCTAGGTGCTTTAGAGTCGTTCCTCTGCTACATGTTAGTGTAATTTGACATTTCACCAGTCGGGTATTTAGAACCTCACCGGATTCTCTATGCAAAGTCGTCAATGTTCGGATCACCGTTTGGGGGCGCATATTGGGCTCGTTTGGGTTATCCTAAGGTCTTCATTTCAAAAGTCTGGGTATGCTGGCAGTAGGAAATTTAAAAAATGACTCCAGTGGAGGGGTCATGGTTTGACTCTCGTTCAAACGATTTTCAACCCACTCAGGTGCGATTGATGTGTGACACTGAGTCAAAGTGCACGACACCTACCCGATGGGTGAAAGCATAAAAAGTGGTAAATAGTTCTTTCCAGGATTACATTCGCTCTTCTGGGGGAAGGCTGATCAACTTGGGTGAAGTCTCCACTTATCTAACAATCGGCACTGCCATACTTGCTTTCCGCACGCACGCATGAGTGCCTCACCCTAGGCACAGTACGATGGTGTCACGTTATATGCCCACTACTTCTTTGGTATCGATTGCTTTTTATTCCTTATTAGCCCGGTCCTGTCTTAGGCCGTACGTCTATGTCGTGACGTCAATAAGCTTGTCGTGATTGGCACTCGTTTCTTCCTGGGAGGGACATGAAGTACACGTGTGCAAGTGTACAACGTTCGCTTGACCTGTGCCATGGGGTGAATTTCACCTATCCGAATGACCGGGGGTGAGTTCAGTCGAACACTTCTAAGCCCAGTGGGTGTGAACGGTCAATGATGTTTTTCGGAATGATAATCCTACCGACCCATTATACGGCGCTAGAATTGAACGAGAGAAAAGTAAACTTAATGTCAGTCGTTTGTTACGATGAAGGGGTTATTCTTGACTACTGCAGTAACGTCTGAAATGAATGTGGAACACAAAATCGTTTGCTTTGAGGTGGGCCGTCAATGTCTTATTGATTGATCGTATTGTCTCTGTTTACCGTCAAAGCTCCTAAGTACGTTTCCTATCCTTCCAAGCACGCCTATCTGATGTGTGCCCTTGGGATTGAGGACGTCCGGGATGATTGCCCAGCTGGTGACGGGGACTATCGAGTTTCCTTGCGACCTGATTATGACCCGTATGTGTAGCATCGTACGTGATTCAACATGGCCGTAGAATATATGCCACAGTTTTCAAGACAAGGTCGTCTTGTCACAGTGACCGACGTTTCTAACTCCCGTCCTCAGCAGGTTGAACCGGAGCTGAATACTGCGGATAGGTGTCTGAGACGACACGCATTCTGGAAACACAAACCATTGATTCGAAGGAGGCGGAACGACCGTCAACACCGCTGTGCAGACTGTAGCCCCAAACAGCCACCATTTATCTCTTGGTGTTCATGCATGTACTTTGGACTCGGATTGAAAGACAAATTCCGAACACTGTATCCCAATGCGTGGACAGAATTTTTTCGTACGCAATGTCCATATCGAGAGGGCTGAACTCAGGCTTGGGGTACCGCGTACCTCATGTTTTCCGGCGTGAATGTAGCTGAATGAGGTATCCTTTGGTAGATATATCCAATCAACAATGAACTACTTGATGTAATTTTCAAAACATTTGAGGATATTACGCATGGACTTAGCCGAGGACGGACGGATGTGCAGGCCTCGGTATTAGGTAGTCGCTTGTTATCTCTATTCGTTGGTGTGGCTTCAAAGGTGTATGCACCACACATTGAGCAGTTTTGGCAGCTGCTGTCGGTGGTTGCAGACTAGTTCCTCCTTAAAAGTAAATCGGAAGACCAAATAAGTCAGTCTCTGTTGAGGAGTGGTGAGTTCTTCTGCACTTCTCCCATTGTTTACATAAACCACCACTGCGTTGGTCGTCATACCAGGTCTTTCCAACTCGACCTCAGAAATATCACTTTTGTTTAAGCCGAGCCTGAATTTCTGCGCACATGACCTAGTCGTCACCGAAGACCAAAAAAGCCACTAAATTGTCATCTAATTAGCAGCTCAGTGTTGGCGTTGACAATCCAGAAACCTCATCCATCGCCTTGATGGACAGTATGGAGTGACAGTGAACGTCCGAATGGGGAATAACTATTTCAAACTTGGGACTGCACGATGTACTCCAAACACCTCGACAGACCAGACACTTGATCATGCAAAACCGGGATGCCAGCAAACGCCAAACTGAGATGGTGGACAACTCCCAGACAATAATGGCGAGTTGAGGTATCCAGCTAGAGCACAGGCATGGAGCAGGCTTCCCGGTGTGAGTTTGCCCAGATGTGGGAATGTATTGCCCATCAAGCTGCTAGTACTTCCGAATCCCCCGAAACTGGCTCCATCAAACTCTTATCCGGCGGCAGCACTGCGCGACTTGACCGGCAATTCGCGTGTTTTGTGGCAGTATCCAGTACTGTTCGGTGTCCACCTGTAGGACGCAGTTTCCTTTGTGTGATTTCCGTGACCTATCGATGACAGTAGGCGCTGCATCTTTCCTCCTATTGTGGTATAAGGTCTGGATATCGGTGTAGTTGGCTCAACGACTTTGCATTCCGTTGGCCGGCACACGCATCCACTAACGGCAGCATCGAGTGACAGGTTTTTGTGTGCGTGAAGGTCCAGGGGGGACAGTGCTTGCTCCAGTATCATCGTATCAGACTGCAGCCCTTGAAAAACGCCAAAATACCAGCACTAGCGAACGGACTGGCAGAGCTAGACTCCAAGAGTGACGCGGTGCAGTCCACGAATTGTCTGAACTAGGTTGTATAGATCTCAATGTGCTGTTTGATGGTGGTTCAGCAGGTGCTAGTTTGTCCGTTTGTGTTTGCTGGTACACCTAACCTGCAGTACACCTAACCTGGTTTTGCCACTGATAACCGGTCGGCCGGGAAAATGTTCCTCCAGTCTTGCAAGCAGGGGGCTTGCGTTTTACAAGACAGATACAACTTGTCATTCAAGCTCACGAAAGACTGTGACTCTAGTTGGGGCTGTCGGGCACCGGAAGTCTTCACTCAGTCAAGCTTATCTGGTTTATACTGAGTTGAATGTGCGCGTCGGTGGTTTTGACTCAAATCAGTCTTCGTTGGAAACAGACGGTAGCAATCAGCACATGCCAATTGAGCGGCGACGTTCTTGCTAGCACTTCCACAAACGTGAACTGGACAGTGGGCTACCAAGCCAACTTTCGATTTGCATCACTTGCCACAACCCTCACATGTGAAATCCACGAGTGTCTTCTGTGTACTGGTTGGAACTGGTGCAGAGGCACTAGCTTGATTGTGTCGTTCATTGTCGAAGTAACCAGTGCTTTGAGACCGGGCGGGGTGGCTCGGTCTGTCTAGAGCTGCTGAACTCTTGCCTCACCCAAACAGGTCCGAACTACCCAGTCGGTGCCACGAAATGTTTCAGTGTGCCGACTATCATCACAGTGTGATCCTCCCTTTTATGGGTGGTTGTTGGTTCATGCTGTTGTGCTTCTCATTCGTACAGACAGAAGTTAAGGGAAGCTGATGGCGACTGCTTTGTAATGAAATCCTCCAAAAATAAGCACCTTCAAGCAAGAATTGGAGTTAGTTGTGCGCCTCTGTTCGTATGTAGAGCGCTTTTCGATTATATCAAATATGTTCAGTGTATGCATGTGACGGCGATCAATAGTTTTCCTAGAATTCTGCATTAGTTCCGTTTTTATAACCGTTTTGCTTAGTTATTCAACATGGTTACTTCCGGTGAACCTTCTGTAGCCTTGCAGAAGAGCACGGTAGGGTTTTGTCGGTTTTCCCATTTGAGTTGTGCGTAGATTGGGAGAGTTATTATGTCATTGCTTCCATCGGGCTGGCTGTGCTTAATCATGGTAACTGGTCGATTGCAATTCTATGGTAAGCAATAATGTGTGGTAGTTGTCCATTGCCCAAGTTGCTTTTTAGGTGCGAACAATTGGAGCTGTAGCTCACCTTATCTAAGTATTAGTTAGTGACAACATTCAAGGACGATGTGTAGGACCTGCCAACTCGACTGACTCACGTGCTTCAGACGGAGGTTCAATATGAGCGTTGAAGCATGAGAAGTTGCCATGTACTGAAGGTGGTGACATTTTATCCTTACTATTTAATTGCCCAGTTGTAACAAGCTTGCAGTTCCTTGCTGCCGTATCCCCCGATGGAAGCACTAGGACTGGGATACTGCCCAAGCCTACACAGAAGCAGTCAAGATCCTGAGCGCAAAAAATCTTTCAGCTGTAGCACTCTTTTGGTGCTTAGCTGCCATGTCACACGAGGGCTGGGATACTGCCAGGTCGCCCAAGCCTAGACAGAGGAAGTCGAGAGACAGGGGTCAGGTTTGAACCACGGACCTTCCGATCAGTAAGCTCGCGCCTAACCACTGAGCTCTCTCAAGCAGCTTTTTACGCCTAACTCCGATGCAGAAAAGTTGAGACTAATGGTACAATTCTCATTGTGATAGTAGACCCACTTATTTGAAGACAGACAGTACCAATAACCTCGTATTGTCTTCCTGTACCCAGGATATCTCATTCATGTGGCGTATCTTTTACTCCCCTACTGTAATGGGGACGCTGGATTATTTCGGTCAGTTGGGTGAACGTACCCCTGGGTCGTGTCTAGACCCTTGAAGGATGAGCTGTCGACCTTTCTGATATTCTAGTCATGGATTCTTGATTATCTGTTACTACAAATGCATGGCGTGCTTCCAATCACTGACGAGTAGTCCTGTTGATTGCTAGAATGGAAGATGGGAGTTCAGCTGTCACACCTTTTCAGTGCCTACCTGCCATGCCACCAGAAGGAAGCACGAGGGTTGGGATACTTCCAGGTTGTCCAAGCCTGGGGAGTCCAGATGTCTTCGTGAACTAGCTAAGCTTCTAAGACTTGGCCTTTCGTCATTCGTGACCTACACTGTGTTTCTGGTACGTGAGAATTCCGCTTACTGTTTGAGGACTTGTCTAAATTATATCCTTTCTCAATAACCGCCTGGCTCATTGTCCGTGTTAATTGGTCTAGGTTTTGATTGCTTATGTTTTCGGTCCAATACAGCTCGTTATTTTACATCCGGTTCGTTTATTCTCGCCAAGCTTCTATCGTAATATTGACTCAGTTGGTAACCGTTGGAATAAAAGACATTGCTTTTTTTCTTGCATGTGCACCTATGGTAGTAATGAGCTTACCGACGAAATGTGTTTCACGTGAGTTTAGTTTGGTTGCACAAGCGAACCACTTAGCTAACGCGTGGTTCCTTCATTGTGTCGGTCAACTTTCAGTCTTGCGATCTCAATGTACTCTCTCAAGCACACTTCAGCTTATGAGCACGCATAAACTAACCGCTTGTGCTAACTACTGATAGACCACGTACCCTCATTCGCACACCAATGTGAGCGAAGGATGAACGACTCAGGTGTTTTGTTGTGAAAACCCGGTTGATCAAATACCCTGAAAATAGCGGTAATCGTCGATTGATTACTGATCTCGTCAGTGCAGTTTCGGTGCAGGACGTACCACGGTGTTACTTTGTGCACATGAATAGGTTCAGAACTTCGCAGGTCCATTGAACTCTTGTGTTATTGACCGAACAAATGTCTATTGGTTCACTGATCTCTCTTCCGGGAGCGAGATGGGTCAAGTGCTTAGAGCGCGACCAGAAGGTCCGTGGTTCGAACCCGACCTCCGCCTCTCGACTTCCCCTCTCTAGGCTTGGGAAATCTGGCATTATCTCGGCCCTCGTGCTTCCTTCGGGTAGGCACCGGGATGGTATTACAGCTGAACGATTTATTTTTTTTTTATTTTACGATCTCTTCCCATGTTTACTGGCTGAGGTTGTTTGTGAGCCACTGTAATGATCGGGCTTGGACGTCATTTACGTAGAGTTTTCTGCCCTCTCGTGAACGTAATTTGCGTCATTCTTAGTCTCGGTTTTGAGAACGAGTTGTCTTCTTTTTATCCTCTTGGTTCACTCGAACATATGGCGTTCGTATAACGGTGTCCATGTAACTAATTCCGTCTTTCCCTGCCTTGTGCCTAATAGTCAGGGGGTTATGACGACCTCATTTTTTCTGCCTGCGATGAAATTTAACCCTTTTTTGCTGGCGCACAAATGATTTATTTGATTTGTTACTGTGCTGCAACCAA